GGTCTGACTTCTCAACTTCGCCTGGAATAGATCAGATAAGCGCAGCAGACACATGACAAATTGAGTATTGGCCTTATTTCTTGCTCCTGCATTTTAAGCCACATGTAATCAATCTAGTCCCTGAGGAATCCTGAGCAGTCTACGTTTTTCTTTCTGTGGTCCGGTTACTAACCCACTTGCGCCAGGTAATCCCCATTGTACAGGCTTTAATACGGTGCTCAGGTGTGTTACGAACCGGAACACGAGAACAATACGGACCCACTGGGGATCCTAGAAGACAGCGTTGAGAACCTCGGGCTTAAACCTCAGAAGGGGAGAGAAGTAAGACTGCGAAACCGAGAGCCAGCTGCCAAGTTTCTGTAACACTGTAAGTCATTGTATCAACTTTGACTTGTCACAGTATTTCCACGAAGCCCAAAATCTGGAGTGAATCTGAAAGCAGCGCCATCCATCATCTCAGGCTTGGCTCCCGGATTTAGGAAAAATCAGCTCGGCTCTGTGAAAGCATGACCTAATAGACTACGTTCACCATCAGCTGCAGATACTCAGTTCCTGACTCAGGATTAAAGATGAAGATTCCAGGGTGGAATTACCGTCACCACCTAGATTAGTTTCCTATAACGCCGCACCCAAAGTATTCGTTTCCTCACCACACCGCAGCAATTTGCCAACAATTAGAATGGTTTATTTATTCATTTCAACGCTATGTCCATTTTTAGATGCGTTTTTATTTTGTGGAACGCCCAGGTGTTCCCTCACCAGCCTCTCTTTTTTTTTTCTCTCGCTGTCTTGAAGTGAATAAGATATAAAAAATTAAAAAAAGCAACAAAACAAACAAAAATAAAACACGGCTTGCCAGGTTACCGAGAAAACATGACTTTTACAAAGACTCCTCCCATCAATGTTAAATAAACCTCTCTTATAGAACACGTCATGTCAACGGTTAAATTTTCTTCTTTGTTAAAAAAAACGACACGTTTTCTGAATTTGTTCGGTCATCGTTGGTCAGAAGTTGATCAATTTTCCGTAAGAGCGTTTATTTTATAATAATGTTTTTTGTGGTTTTTTGTGGGGGGTTTTCACGGAAAAATCGCAATCGCATGAAATAGTTTTACCCGTCGAAGCCCTCTTCGATTCACTTGCGTCGCGATGACGTCACATGACGCGTCTCGGCCCAAATCTGCGGTAATTTAGAAACATTTTCAAAACGCCTCCTGGATTTTACGTTAATTGCCCCGAACACGAAATCGCAAAATCCTGGAGCGCCTGATCTCTGTAACGTTTCACTTTCTGAGTTTTACGCTTTGTGTAACCTTTTTTTGGTCTTATTGACTTCACGGACTGTTTGCAGCCGCTATAACGTGAGTGGGAACAGGAACTAACTTGTTTCGTAGACGTTCCTCGACATTAAACGCAGCTACACGCGGATCAAACGTGTGACGACTCAAACACACGTTGTCTTGCATCCTGTAAATGAACACAGTGTCCCTTGTATACGATTTTGTGATCAGGATATGACCCTCACCACATGGCCGCTCTTCAGTATTAATAGCGAGAACCTTTCTCCCAGTTCTACCCCGCTATAAGTTTAGGTAAACAACCCCCTCACCCTCTCACCACTCTCCCCTATTTAACCCTTCCTAATGTTTACCCCAGGCTCCTCTTTCCTCTTTAGTTAAAATAGGATTATCTATAAATAGAGGTATTAACTGGCATCGTACGATCCAGTCCCTTGTAAGCTCCTTAAAAGTCTGCGTGATGTATAGGGCTTTCCAGGAGCCAAGCCTTTCAAAGAACAGCGTGTTTACTCTCTCCACCCTGTAACCTAAAACCCTGGCGTCCAGGAGCGTGACCTTGTGTACACTGTAAACACAGCGTGAAAGAAGCAGCCGTGTGGATCCACCTCCGCCCCACCCCCGTCTTGCCGTACTGTATGTTCCTTTTGTTTCTTAACTTTATGTGTAGAAATAGCAGAATGTTCGTAGCCTTTTTAAGTTTTAAGTCCCGGCTTATTGTATTAAAGCTGAAGAGATTATTAACTGGAATGAAACATGTACAGTCGTGAAACCGAGGAATGTTAATCAGGACCATAAGATCAATAAATCATTCCGTTGCATTTATTTATTCCTCCAGTGAGGCAGGAACGCATTCCAAGGCATACTTGGAGAGCACAGAAAACTTTCCTGTGTCGGAAAACTTAAGGTAACGTTCTGCACTGGTTTGGTAACAGACGACCGGCAAAACTAAGTTCAGTGACAATATAATGGCTGCGAAAAACACTTAAAAGGAGGGACACAAACGTTTAAACAGTTCATATTTTTGTCACGATCTCCCCTGGAGTCCGTGCTGAAGTATTGCAGCGTGCTCGGAAAACCGAAGCGCACGCTCGTGCACGAATCCGGTGCGCGATCCCTTGGCAGACGCACGCTTTTCCATCTTCAATTACATTGAATTTGTTTACGTCGGACACGTGTTTTTTGTTATGGTTATGTTCTGTTGTTATGGTTATGTGTCATCCGATTGTGTGTCATCATTGTTTTCAGCTGTCCCGTGTTTAACCCATGATTACGTTTGTCATTTAAACCCCTCGTGTCTCGTAGCACATTGCGTAGTATTGAGTTTATCTCATTACCAAGCGGTTGTTCCTTGTTTCTCATTTTGATTCATGCTTATTGACCTTGTTTCTCGTCTCTCGTTTTCGATTCTAGCCTCGCCCAGTTTGTGTACGTTTGTACATCGCCTGACCTTTTGCCTGTGATTAGACCACGCTTCGGATTACCGTTTTGGATTTGTCTGCCTGCCTCTCTCTAATAAACGTCTTTAACTGCACTTGCGTCCGTCCTAACCTCCATTACGTAAGTTCCAGTTTGAAAGTTTCCCAATACTACAACATGAATGTAAAATCAGCTGATTGTGATCAGAACTTAGTCATTGTTATAAAAAAAAAAAAGTTATAAAGATGTCACAATACCCACAATATCTCAGAAACGTGTATGGTGTCATACTGGTTCATAATAATAATAACAACATATCGTCGTATTATATCGGCCAGCCCTGGTTTCATTTCACAGATGATCCTTCGTTAAGTTCTCGAATAATACGAACAAGCACTGACAATAATAATAATAAACATTAATCACGTAAATAAAGTAACGCACGTGATGACAGAAATGATTAACAAGCAAAGCAACTTGCCTAATTTCTTCTGCATTTCTGCCATATCATTTGCTCTCGAAGGGTGCATTTATATGTATATATATAAAATGAGAGAGAGAGAGGGAGGCACCCTTCCAGAGAATAAAGGTGGACTTAGTAAAGACTGAATGTGTGTTTTGTTTAGGCCAGTCCATGAAACATTGTCAGGAATCCAGAAGAAGGTCAGAGCACAGGCCGACAACAACAACAAACTAAAATGATTCATATTCACAGTCAGAAAAAAACAACAACAACAAAAAAAAACAGGCAAAGGTCAAACCAGGAAATACTATACACACAGAGCAGGGACTGGAAAACAAGGGCGTCGAGAAACACACAATAACGTTCGATGAACATTCAGTGTAACAGAAACAACTGGGTATACATAGACTGACTGATCTAACACAGAACAGGTGCACACAATAGGGTAAGAAAACAATGACAGGAGAGGAACAGACACCAAAACACGAGCAAGTGACTTTCGTCGACACGGAATCTGTGATGTGACAGGGGAACAGGAAGCAGCTCGGAAAAGCGAATTATTGGGGGGTGCCAATACTTTTCCAATCAGAACATATACAACATACTGTTTTTTTACTCGTCTTCATGTAGGGGTGCCGATCGTTTTAGAGTTTACTCTTATGGTTGAATTGGCGAGATTTCGGACTAATCCAGTTACTATTCTCTTTTATTTAATTTTAAATTAATGGCACCCCTCAACATTCTTTAACATGAACAGAAATAAAAAAGTGGAGTGAAGGAAGAAGCTGAGTACTGTTGTTCTCTCCAGTGAGGCTAATTATGGGCGTGCCAATCATTTTTAAATCAGCGTTAGGACAATTATACAGCGTCCTCATGTAGTATATTTAAGGTAAGTTTCGCTTGTTTTCATAAAGGGTGCCAATAATTATGGAGTTCACGGTGACAGCAAAATCTGAAGTGTAATCCAATCCAATTGCGGTAATTGGAGTCATTCCTAACTGGGTTTTTTTTTTTTTTTGTCTTTTAATCACACTACGCCCTCTTATTACTTTGTTGCAAAAATATTGACACCCCTAAATGCAAACTGTATGTCATCCTTCACAGCTCTGACTGCTGTCTTTAGGGTTCGAATATGCAGATCATCATCTATCATCATATGGGAACCATCGAGAGCTTTTAGCGCAGAAGATAACCCGAACACGTCGGGAACGTATAAAGTTCAGCATGTTGCGAAACACAAGCCGGTCTATAAAAAGCAAGAATGACGCAGAAGTGTGGAATATTTAAAGTACTTACCAGAAAGAACACGCCTGAGGCTGTTTCTGCATATCTCCAAAGGGTTGTGCCCTGCCATGTTTGTTTCAACTCCACAGTTATCGGGACCGTTGAACAGGGAAAAAAAATAAAGGTGTAAAGTTTCGCAATTTCAAATCGAAACGTTTGTAAATTTGTCAAAATTGGACACGAGACCATACCGACCCCCTGGACAGTGGGGAGAATGCTGAAGGGTTCGTCGAGTGATTTATCGGACATCGTGACGGTGCCTGGTTAGAGCTACAGCGTAAAACTCAACGTTTTAATGAGCATGCTCGGTAGAGGGAAAGAAAAAAAAAGGTAGACCGAAAACGAGGAAAAGATTCGGACGTGGATCAGTGATGACAGACGATCAGGATTGTTCCAGAAAAGTAACCATTTATCATTTTAACTTAACGTTACATTGATGGTATTCGGCAGACTCCCTTCTCCAGAGCGACGTACGATTATCTCATTCCTACAGCTGAGCGTTAAGGGCCTTGCTCAAGGGCCCAACAGTGGTAGCTTGGCAGTGCTGCGATTTGAACTCACGACCTTCTAATCAGAAATCTGACGTCTTAACCGTTGAGCTACCACTTAACACCTTGTTGCCTCTGCCAGGAGGTTACGATTTGAACTAAGACAGCGCTTTTAACAAAATCCTAAATCGGCGTCTCAATCAGCTCATTGGAACGTTCGCTCCGTAAAAAAAACCCCCACAATGCACTCTGCTCCCTTACTGACTAATGACGCGATGTTTTCTGAAGCCTCTCCGCTCGGACAACACGGCGGACGAGCTCCCAGCTTGTCATCGTCGCCGTGGCTCTCAAACGATCGCCCGCGTCACTGATTTTGAACTTTATTCGACGTTCTGTATACGGTTTGTTTGCGTCTAACAACTTTGACGTGTCTGATGGGTTTTTAAAAAGTAAACCAGCGAGCCTGCGATCCTGCTTGACGTACCGTGACGGAAAGGCGTGGGATTTAAGTCAGCAAATTTCTACGGTGTTTAATGTCGGAAAGATATGATGAGCAATGCCGTCGGTGACGTTTTACGACGCGAGTACGCCGTCGTGACGCCGGAAAAAAAAAAAACGAGTCATCAGTGTCCCAATGTGCAGTGACTCAGGGTCCTTACCAGCGCCTGACCTCGTCTACATGATATACTGATCCACCACCTACGGAGCGGATTAGGCTCACCCGAGTGTTTTATTTGAGATGTTGTGCATGGACGAGAGTCTAGATGTGTCTCCAACATTGTTGGATGTTATAAGAAGAGTCTCAGTGCTGCTGTTCTCTTCGGAAAATGGAACAATGTTTTTGAGAAATAAAATCAGTTAAATAACACGAAGGGTGCCAATAATTCTATCTGACATTAATATTAGGTCAGACTGTTAAACATATAGACGTCGGTATTTTGTTGTCCAGTCCAGTTAAACCTGTTACGGAGATGACTGGACCGTAATGACTGGATTATCTGGTTTAACAAAAACCAGCTCATCGACAAAAACGAGACGAACTTTAGTGGACGGCCCTTTTGCTGTCAAGCGAAAAGAACTATTATAGTTCCTCCTGGGCTGAATAACGACAAAAATACGCCTGATGCCAGCTAACACGTTGCATATTTCGATATGGGACTCGTTGTACATTTTAGAGAGCCTGGGTTTGTACAGTAGAGTAATGCAGCTAGAGTTTAACAGGTGCGCGGTAATTACAGGTCTTCTTCGTACAGCGGGGACTGGAATGGAAGTTCTGGGGCTTGTAGTATGAATTCGTCCGCCTTAAGGTTCTCTATAAGTTAGTGTTGCTCCAAAACAATGACATTCGCATTGAGAAATGTACTCTCTCTCTCGACCACTGACGCGGTTCGATGACGTGACAGTTTCCATGACGTCATTCTGCACTTCAGCTTCTCATCAGATTTTCTCTCCAATCAAACGCTCTCGAGAATCTGAAGCGTCCCGCCTCCAACGTTATAAAAAATCACCTCGCCTAACAGCTTTGTCTATTTAAAGAAGGGGAGGAGCCACTCGATTTGGATCAGGTGGTAGAGCGGGTTGTACACTAGTCGTAAGGTTGGAGGTTCGATTGCCGGCCCACATGACTCCAAATGACACCAAATGACTTCACATGACTCCAAATGACTCCACGTGACTCACGTGACTCCACGTGACTCCAAATGACTCCACATGACTCCACATGACTCCACATGTTGAAGTGTCCTTGGGCAAGACACTGAACCCCAAGTTGCTCTCTATGGCAAGTTAGAGCCTTGCATGGCAGCTCTGCTCCCACTGGTGTGTGTGTGAGTGTGTGGTGTGTGTGTGAAAATGGGTGAACGAGAACCAGTGTAAAGCGCTTTGTAGAACTGCTAAGGTTAAAAAAAAGCACAATATCAGTGCAGACCATTTACCACATGTCCCATCCTGACTTCCTGTTTCACTGGAAATGACATCGACACATTGATTAACGCTGTGCGTTTCAAGGCACTTCACGGAGACTTTAATGTGCCACTGTTTTACTCGTAAAGTAAACAAAGCAACTGTTCACAATGTGTAACTACAGTGGGGTCCAAAACCACGAGACCAACATTGAAAATCTGGGATTAAAAAAAATAAATAAATTCTTTTAAAATGGGAAATAAACAGAAGAACGTGAATGCTCAATATCTTGAATATTTCATATTTTTAACATTCTGCACTATTTTCTAGGTCCCTGTTTAAATGTAAGCAAATTAGGGATATCGACGAGGCTGACTGCTTTGAACAAAAGGTCTGATTAGACCGTGTCTAATCTGTTCTACTGAAGCACGTGTTCAGACGACGCTGATGGATTTGATCTAGAATGGATCGTCAGGTTTTGCACAAATTAGTGGCGTTCGTGCCAGATCAAATCATTACTATCGTTATAGACTATCATTACAGCAACAAAAAAAAAAGGGGGGGTTGGTTAGCAGATACCAGTCTGGACAGGATGTTGTTGCTTGATTTCCGGAGGTTTTTTGGGCTTTTTTTTCCGGAAAACTACTTGAATTTGCGACATTTTAATGGCACGGAATTGTTCTGCGAGGTCTTTCACAGCGATGTTTGTTGGTAAACGAGACCTTTTAGCTGTACTCGTGTTCGACGAAGAGGTTTTGGATGAACACGGGTCGTCACGACGTCACAAGGCACGTCTCGGACCGAGTGTGCGGAAAAGTTGCAGCTCCTCCGAATATCGCGGCATTTACTTTAGCGAATCCTTGGAGGGACCGAAATACTAAGAAACTCTGAGATTCACGTAAATATTCCTAACTCAGGCTACTGCTGATAATATAATTCATATAATAAATATAATAAACATTTTCACTAGTGTTCTCGGACTTTTGGACCCCAGTGTATGTTTAGTTGATTTAGTGTTGTTCCTGGAATTTCTGCTAGCAAGCTAGTCCTGTTCCTTTATTCCAGTGTAAAAGTGTTTCTCTTCAGTTTCGACTAAAGAGACTACTCCTACGTTTCGCTTCAGGTTTGTTTGATTGTTTTTCATTTCATTTTCCCGATACCAGACTGTCAACATGATGAGGAATTTATTACTCGTTATTATTAGTTACTTTGTTTCCCCTGTTGAACATTTAATGTTAAAAAAAACCATCGGCCCGAGTCGGTGTGTCTGAAGTCAGAGAGCGTGTACACGAGTGCAGGCGAACAAACCGCAGGCCGAGACGAAAACAGTCAGGAATTAGCATTGACAAGCAACGTCAAACATGCTCCGATCAAAACACTAATGGAAACAGATGCAATACTGGAGAGAGAGAGAGAGAAAAGAGAGAGAGAGAGAGAGAGAGAGAGGCTGTTTCTCAATTGAGAGAGAAAGAGAGAGAAAGTGAAAGAGAGAGAGATAGAAAGATAGAGAGAGAGAGTGGCTGTTTCTCAATTGAGAGAAAGAGAGAGAGAGGTTATTTCTCAATTGAGAGAAAAGAGAGAGAGAGAGAGAGAAAGAGAGAGAGAAAGACAGAGAGAGAGAGAAAGAGAGAGTATGACTGTTTCTCAATTGAGAGAGAAAGAGAGAGAGAGAGAGGTTATTTCTCAATTGAGAGAGAAAGAGAGAGAAAGAAAGAGAGAGACAGAGAAAGAGAGAGAGAGAGAAAGAGAGAGTATGACTGTTTCTCAATTGAGAGAGAAAGACAGAGAGAATGGCTGTTTCTCAATTGAGAGAGAGAGTGAGGGAGAGACAGAGAGAATGGCTGTTTCTCAATTGAGAGAGAGAGAGTGAGGGAGAGACAGAGAGAATGGCTATTCTCAATTGAGAGAAGAGAGAGAGAGAGAGAGAGAGAGAGAGAGAGAGAGAGAGAATGGCTGTTTCTCAATTGAGGAGAGAGAGAGAGAGAGAGAGAGAATGGCTGGCTTTCTCAATTGAGAGAGAGAGAGAGAGAGAATGGCTGTTTCTCAATTGAGAGAGAGAGAGAGAATGGCTGTTTCTCAATTGAGGAGAGAGAGAGAGAATGGCTGTTTCTCTTGAGAGAGAGAGAGAGAGAGAGAATGGCTGTTTCTCAATTGAGAGAGAGAGAGAGAGAATGGCTGTTTCTCAATGAGAGAGAGAGAGAGAATGGCTGTTTCTCAATTGAGGAGAGAGAGAGAGAGAGAGAGAGAATGGCTGTTTCTGAATTGAGAGAGAGAGAGAGAGAGAGAGAGAATGGCTGTTTCTCAATTGAGAGAGAGAGAGAGAGAATGGCTGTTTCTCTATTGAGAGAGAGAGAGAGAGAGAATGGCTGTTTCTCAATTGAGAGAGAGAGAGAGAGAGAGAGAGAGAGAGAGAATGGCTGTTTCTCAATTGAGAGAGAGAGAGAGAGAATGGCTGTTTCTCAATTGAGAGAGAGAGAGAGAGAGAGAGAGAGAATGGCTGTTTCTCAATTGAGAGAGAGGAGAGAGAGAGAGAGAGAGAGAGAGAGAATGGCTGTTTCTCAATTGGAGAGAGAGAGAGAGAGAGAGAGAGAGAGAGAGAGGCTGTTTCTCAATTGAGAGAGATAGAGAGAGAGAGAGAGAGAGAGAGAATGGCTGTTTCTCAATTGAGAGAGAGAGAGAGAGAGAGAGAGAATGGCTGTTTCTCAATTGAGAGAGAGAGAGAGAGAGAGAGAGAATGGCTGTTTCTCAATTGAGAGAGAGAGAGAGAGAGAGAGAGAGAATGGCTGTTTCTCGAGAGAGAGAGAGAGAGAGAGAGAGAGAGAGAGAGAGAGAGAGAGAGAGAGAGAGAGAGAGAATGGCTGTTTCTCAGAGAGAGAGAGAGAGAGAGAGAGAGAGAGAGAATGGCTGTTTCTCAAGAGAGAGAGAGAGAGAGAGAGAGAGAGAATGGCTGTTTCTCAATTGAGAGAGAGAGAGAGAGAGAGAGAGAGAGAGTGGCTGTTTCTCGAGAGAGAGAGAGAGAGAGAGAGAGAGAGAGAGAGAGAGAGAGAGAGAGAATGGCTGTTTCTCAATTGAGAGAGAGAGAGAGAGAGAGAGAGAGAATGGCTGTTTCTCAATTGAGAGAGAGAGAGAGAGAGAGAATGGCTGTTTCTCAATTGAGAGAGAGAGAGCGAGAGAGAGAGAGAGAGAGAGAGAGAGAGAGAGAGAGAGAGAGAGAATG